GGTTGCTGTGAGCTGTGATGTAACAGCACTCTACCCAGGGGGACAGCTTAAGGCTCTGTCTCAAAAATAAAATAAAATAAAATAAAATTTCTTAGATTTTTCTCACAGATTTTTTTCCATTTGAACATTAGAAAACACTGTTAAGTCCCCCCCCACTACCGACAATATTAACATTTTATTAAACAGTAATTTAAGTTAACATCTTTTATTTCTTCAAGCTTTCCTTACTACATATTTGTAATATGGAATCTACAAACCTTTGTAATTTCCTCATTAAAAGCCTGCACATTTATTAAGTTTATTCCTAGATGTTTTACACTTTTACAAGAGTTCATAATTTTTTTTCTACATTGAAACTGATCTTTAAGGTCCAATTGAAGCTTATCAAAGCTGATTAAAAATTTTTTTTTCCAAATGGGTCTTTACTTGCAGGAAAGCATTCAGAAACTACAGGCTCTTTAGAAGCAGTTATTTACTGAGTGTTCACTGTATACCTGGTAGGGTGGTTAGCCCCTTCTTTACACGCATTATCTCATTTAAAGAAATCTTTAGCAAACTGATGCAACTTTTATTCCTATTTTACACACTCAGGCTCTGAGAGTTAGAGGAACTTGACAAAAATTACCCCAGTTGGTAAACGGATTTCATTTTAAATTTGTAAATCTCCAAAACTATCACACAAATCAATCAGCCAGGCGGACATCCTTACCTCTGCCATCAGACTGATTCAAGAGAAAGCTCTTCCGAAAGCAATCAACTGAATTAAAAAGACAATGCTTCCTACCCCTCAAAACCCTCGTTTTTTCTCCAGTGCTCTCCTTAGAGCACCCATAGTTTGCATGAGCACAATAAAAGTGACTTTCTGAGCCTCCTTCATAACTGGGGACTCGTGGACAATCAATAGTTGCTTTCTTGGAGCTTTCAAGACTGGAAATCTACCTCTCCATAGGAAATCTACCTCCATCACAGGACAGGTTAAATGAAAAGAGAGAGAATGAGAGAAACAGGTGGAACCGACTAATGTGGACCAGAGCAGTGCACACAAGGCAGAACTTTCTGGGGGCATCTTGGCTGCGCCTTTCACGCATTTTGCGCGCAGGTGGCGCCGCGGTCCTTTTGCTCCCTGCGCAAGCCGGCGGGGTGCCTAAAAGGCCACCGCGAGTCTCCGCTAAGGTGAGAAGAAGCCTTCCGCCAAGGCAAGGGAGGCGGGTGGGCAGGAAGCCGAGTCCGCACAGGCAAGAAAGACTCCAATTCCCAGCCCCCCGCCCCGCGGGGCGCGGGGCGCAGGCGGCGCATGCGCGAGGCCCGGCCCCCAATTCCCCCAGCGAGGGAGGGAGGCCCCCGGCGGCCGGGAGGCTGCTAACCGCAGCGGGACTCGAGCGCACGCAGGGGCGCGGCGGCTCCGGAGCAAGCCGGGCTGCTGAGGCTGCCGTCGGGAGTGCGCAGCGCCCCGGGCCAGGCTCCAGCCTCGGGCGGGCACCCGAGGACACAGCTGGCTCAGGCCTGGGAGGGGCTCGGCGCCTGCAGCCCCCCACGCCCGGAGAAGGATGCGTGAGTTTCGCCCCGGCTCGAGGGCAGGATGTGGGAGCAGGACAAAGGCAGGGCGGCGGGGGAGGAGTTGAGGACGGCGATTTGGTGGCCGCGGCTAGAGTCCCAGCCTCGGGCGAGCTAGCGGAGTCGGCAACTTTCTCTGCAACTTTTGCAAAAGGGAAGATAAAAATTCTTCAGGTTGTTGCACAGCTCCGGATCGCCCCGTGTCCAGCGACCAAAGGGGAGGGGGCACCGCAACCTTCCCCAGACGGGAGGCGACCGCCGGCTCCGCTGAGCGGCGCAGGAAGGGGCACTCATCCGGGCCCCGAGCCGGGGGTGAGCGAGAATAGGGATACCGGGGTTCGGAGCCGGAGGTGCGCTCCGGTCACTGAAGTTGCGGGTGTCCACGCAGGGTGCTCCCTGAGAGTGCGGTAGCCTCGGATCTCCGCGCTGCTTACGCGACGATGGATGAGCCATGGTGGGAAGGGCGCGTCGCCTCGGACGTCCACTGCACCCTGCGCGAGAAGGTCAGTCCCTGCTCGCCCTTGTCACTTGTAGGACTGGGGAAAGACTCTCCCTCTGGACTTGGTGTTCACAGGTTGCCCGCGTAGGAACTCAAAACTCTTAGTACCTTTCTTTCCTCCTGCCCTTTACCTTCTCGCAGAGTGTCTGAGTTGGGGTTGGAGGTGGTGGGACGGGAGATTGGAGAGATACAAGTTATTTTTTCTGAGTAGGACCTCAGAGCTCCGGGCCAACTAAAAGGACCAACTAAAAGGAGATCGTTACTATACCCCTAAGGCAGTATTTCCCTTAGTATTGCCACGGAGACTTTTTTGAATGGTACATGAATGGACTTTTACAAATATTGTGTATTCATTTTATTTAATTTTTTTGTGTATTCCCTTTAATGTGCAACTTAAAAATATGCATATATATTATCTAGCAAGTTCTGCATAAATGATATGATTTTCCATTTATTGTAATAATGATGTAGCAGTTTCTTGTAAATACATTTATTCAAATAAAGAAATACTAGGTATACGGTAGTACAGGGAGTTCATAGTTATGGCCAAGTAGGTATTTATATCTAGGATGGCGCTGAATGGTTGAAGTTGAAGAAACACCAGTCTGATTAAAGAGGCTACAAAACTGGGAGGCTGAGGGAAGGAAACACAAACTCACCTGCCAGTTTGCCTCTCAGGGCAGAAGGTGGATGGGGACAGCTGAAATGTGATCTCTGCACACCCTTCCCCTCAAGGAGAGAAGTGCTGATGGGCATTGGGATGTGGAACAGTCCACGAGTGCTGCAGGCCTTGGCCTGTGTGCCCTCCATCCTAACCCTGGGCTGAAACCCGGAAGGGTGGCTTGGGGAACAGGTGGGAAGCAGGGCGTGGATTGATTTCCTGGAGTTGCCATAGCAAAGTACCACACACTGGAGGGATTAAAGCCACAGAATTTTATTCTCTCACAGCTCTGAAAGCCAAAAGTTCAAGATCAAAGTGTCAGCAGGGCCATGCTCTCTCCCAAGCCTCTAGGAGAGAATGTTTCCTTCTTTCTTCTTAAATTTTGGTGGCTGTTGGCAATCCTTGACATTCCTTGGCTTGTAGCTCCATCATTACAGTCTTTGCCTTTGTTTTTGTTCTCTTGTTTGTTTTTTTAGAGACAGAGTCTCACTATGTCACCCTGGGTAGAGTGCTGTGTTGTCACAGCTCACAGCAACCTCCAACTCCTGGGCTTAGGCGATT